TGTAGATTTTTTTTGAAAAATGAATATAAATAAATAAATAAATATATATATATATATATATATATATATATATATATATATATATATATATATATATATATATATATATATATATATATATATATATATATATATATATATATATATATATATATATATATATATATATATATATATATATATATATATATATATATATATATATATATATATATATATATATATATATATATATATATATATATATATATATATATATATATATATATATATATATATATATATATATATATATATATATATATATATATATATATATATATATATATATATATATATATATATATATATATATATATATATATATATATATATATATATATATATATATATATATATATATATATATATATATATATATATATATATATATATATATATATATATATATATATATATATATATATATATATATATATATATATATATATATATATATATATATATATATATATATATATATATATATATATATATATATATATATATATATATATATATATATATATATATATATATATATATATATATATATATATATATATATATATATATATATATATATATATATATATATATATATATATATATATATATATATATATATATATATATATATATATATATATATATATATATATATATATATATATATATATATATATATATATATATATATATATATATATATATATATATATATATATATATATATATATATATATATATATATATATATATATATATATATATATATATATATATATATATATATATATATATATATATATATATATATATATATATATATATATATATATATATATATATATATAAAAACATATATATATATATATATAAACAAGATATTCATACTGCATTGTGTTTCAAATGTTTCAATAATTACTATTATTATTATTATTATTATTATTATTATTATTATTTTATTGATAATTATTTAATAATTTTCTTTTTTATTATTGACATTATTTTTATAATTGGTAATTGACATGTCTTTTATTATTGACATTATTATTATTATTATTGAAAATTGACATGTCTTATTTATTTTAGAAAATATTATTATTATTGTTGTTGTTGTTGTATTATTGATAATAATAATTAATAAAATAATAATATTTTATTATTAATAATTATAATAACAATTATTATTATTGATAACATGTCTTTTCAAATAATTTATAGTACTATTATTACTATTATTTTATTATTGACTATTATTATTATTTATAATTAGAGTGTCTTTATTATTGATAAAATTATTATTATTATTTAATTTTGATAATTAACATGTCTTTTTATTATTTATATTATTACTATTATTAATTGACATGTGTTATTAATTATTGATAATATTATTATTGTTACAACTATTATTTGATTATTATTATTATTATTGATGATGACAATTTAAATGTTTTTTTATTATTGATAATTTCATGATTATTATTATAATTTTATTAATGATCATTAAAAAATCCCATATTCTGATAATTTTGTACACAAGGAAAGCAAATGTCGATTTATTCATCTGCAAATTATTATTGTGATGATCCAACTTTTCATACATTAAATTCATAATAATAGACTTTATATACATACAGTATGTAACCAAACGAAACAGGAAACGTTCGCAGGTAACCAGGACATGTTATTTTCCCAAGCATTACTGGAGATTAATTTCGCTCTTCCTCGATTGTCCTTGAAGGTGTTTTAAAAGGATTCTGCCGAGGAAAGCAGGTTGAGCTGCTGGGTTTCCTGAGTCGCTGATACAGGCTTCAGTCCAGGCCAACAACAATAGCAGAGCGTTTTGTGTGGGGAGAGTTAGTCATCAAGCTCAGGGCAGGGTCACAGCTTTCTCAGATAACAAACATAGTCCAGTCAGATCAGTTCTGGCCTGATCTTCAATTATCACATTGTTTAAAAGGGTAGAGAGAAAACTGGATGTTTTCTAAAAACTGCAAAACTCAAGACACAGAGGTGTTTTCTTAGGTTATTAAATGACAAAAACCCCACCTTTATTTCATGATATTTGATGATACCCTTTTTTTGTAATTGTTAATTTGTATGAAACATGCCCTTCCAGCCGCAACCCATCTCTGGGAAACATCCACCCACACGCACACACACACACACTCATACACTACGGATAATTTAGCCTACCCAATTCACCTGTACCGCATGTCTTTGGACTGTAGGGGAAACCGGAGCACCCGGAGGAAACCCACGCGAATGCAGGGAGAACATGCAAACTCCACACAGAAACTTCGACTGAGCCGAGGTTCGAACAAGCGACCCAGTGACCTTCTTGCTGTGAGGCGACAGCCGCGTCGCCCATTACAAAACAATCTTTATAAAAATTCCAAATAGTACAATTTCTTGTGCCTGAATACTTTAAACTGTAAATTCTTACACATCCATTGACCTTAAAAACACATGCAAATAATAAACTTTTACTTCATTATGGTTAAACTCTACAGTTAAATGTGATCCTAACATATGAACTCAACATTGAAAATCCTGTGAAGTGACTTTTGCAAACGCACACATTGTGATAAAGATGCTGAAACGATATATATATATATATAAACGATATTGTGCAGCCCTACAAAAATTAATACCTTTGTAAAATAACATTCAAGGCTTTTAATGCTTTTTAAGACCCCGCAGACAATCTTTTTATTACCCGCATGTTGCTATGTTGCAGTACTCACTCTCACTATGATGCCCATGCGTTTGCTCTCATAGGTGAAGGGGAAGATTTGCAGGATGGTGAAGTTGAGGATTTGTCCACTAGGTGTCCTCAGCTGCATAGAGGACTGGTCTCTGCCCACCAGCGTCAGCCCAACACTCTCCGTCCACTGAACGAGAGACACCTACAACCACATTCAGAAGGAGAAATCACAACATATGAAACCATCAAGCCATAAACAAAGCAGGAGCACAGTCAGCATCAGTCAGTCTTGACAGCTCAGAGAATCATCAAGATGATCTGCTTTAAAGCTGACCTTCTATGCAAAAATCGCTATTTTAGGTGGTTTTGGGGCAACAGTGTGTAAATATAACTAGCTTCTAATTAATTACAAAACAGAAGCAGTTTCTATCAGTCAGAATTCACAGATCAGAGAATCCTCTTAAGATATTCTGCATTAAAGTGGACTTACTATACAAAAATCACTATTGTAAGTAGATTAAACAGTTTTGGGGCAACAGTGTTTAAATATATCCAGCTTCTAATGGTAAAAATTAATTAGATACAAACTAGAAGCAGTATCAATATTCAACATTACTTTAACAAGCATGGCAAATATTACCTCATCCCTTATTCTTCTGCAATACTGTAGTTTTTTCTGCAAAGTTGCTTAGTCTTTTGTGTTTTATAGCTCGTGTTTTATGATTAGGGCTGCACAATAGCTTGTAAAATTTTCATTATATATACAGTTAAAGTCAAAGTTATTTTTTTCTTTTTCAAATATTTCCCAAATGATGTTGACAATATTTCCAATAATTTTTTTTCTTCTGGAGAAAGTCTTATTTGTTTTGTTTCGGCTAGCAAAAAAAGCTGTTTTTAATTAATTTAAAACCACTTTAAGGTTAATATCATTAGCCACCCTAAGCATCATTTTTTCCCCGAATTTCTACAGAACAAACCACTGTTATACAATGAAACTTGCCTAATTAACCTAGTAACGCCTTTAAATGTCACTTTAAGCTGAATACTAGAATCTTGAAAAGTAGTCTAGTAAAACATTATGAGCTGTCATCATGGCAGAGATCAAAGAAATCAGTTATTAGAAATGAGTTATTAAAACTATTATGTTTAGAAATGTGTTAGAAAAACTTCTTTCTGTTAAACAGAAATTGGGAAAATAAATATAGAGGGGGCTAAAAATTCAGGACGGCTAATAATTATGTACAGTACTGTACTGTATATAAACTAGTCAGCCTTTGAAGTGGTTACCACCTCATCAAAGTTGTTCTAAAACTGTTGAACAACACTCATTCTGGTCCTAGGACAAATGTGAACATTTTTGATTCACTTCAAATGTTGACTACTGTATATATAGTATATGCAATATTCATATCTCAGACATGTGTGATGAATTACTTTTATTTTAAGCATTTGTTGTTATTAGAAAAGTACAAAATAATAAAAAAAGAAAAATCATCCATGACAAATCAAGATAGATGCATCGCTTTCCAAACATAACCTTATCGCAATTATAGTAAATGCAATGTTCGCAGTTGAGTGGTAAAAGCCATTGATTTTATGCACTGGTTGTTGTAAAATAAAAAAAAAATAAAAATATTAGAAAAAAAGGAAGTCAATTTAAGAATAGTCAAACATTCTTACATTTCTTTTTTCTCTGACGTGAAAAATTAAGGTAGGTGCATCATTACTCAGACTTAATCTTATCGCACTTATAGTATATACAATATTCGTATCGCAGACGTGTGATAAACTGCCTGTACTTCATGCATTGGTTGTTGCAAAAACTAAAGTTAAAAAAACTACTTAAAAAAATTAAGTCAATTTAATAATCGTAAAAATTTCTTTGAGATAAAAATTAAAATAGGCCGTGCAAAATCAAAAGAGGTGTATCACTACTCAAACTTAACCTTATCGCAATTATAGTATATGCAATATTCGTATCACAGACATGTGATATATTACATTGGTTGTAAAATAATAATAATAATAAAATGAAAAAGTCTTTTGAAAAAAAAAAGTCAATTTAAGAATCTGCCAATTTTTTATTTGCCAAATATCTTTTTAAAAATTTTGTGCAGATACAATATCATATACATTAAATATACAGTACACAGTAAATATATATAACAAAATAAAGAAATAACAAAAAACTAACAATAAAGTAATAAATAAATAATAAAAAGTTGTATTCCTCTTCTGCTTCAAGATCAATAGTGTCAATATAATTCAATAAAGGTTTCCATGTTTTGTAAAAAGATTTTAAAGACCCTCTTAATGAAAAAATAATTTTTTCCAACTTTAAAAACAACAAAACATTTATTTTCTCCATCTGGCATATGAAGGTGGAGATGTTTGTTAAAAAGAATAAGCCTCCTAGCCAAAAATGTGGAGAAAGCCACAACATTTTGTGTTATTGAAGGCAAATTTGGCCCAGAAGGAATTCCGTATAGTGCTGTTAGAGGGTTTGGAGTGGCTGATATGTTACAAGGTTTTTTCAAAAGTATCAAATATTTTAGACCAAAACACTGTCAATCTTGGACAAGACCAAAACATGTGTGTGTGTGTGATTTGCTGGAGATTGTTGACACTTATTACAAGTATTACTTTTATTTGGGTATATTTTGGCTAATCTGGCATTAGCGTACTGTGCTCTGTGAAAAATCCTGCATTAACTGTGTCTGGCACAAATAGAAGAATTGTGTACAAAATTGAGTATATAATTCTATTCTATTTCACTGATGGTGATCCCCAACTCTTGTTCCCAGGTATTCTTAGGTAGTAAATTTGTTTTAAAGTACAAACAAACAAAACATAAATAAAACAAAACATTTGGGCAAAAAAAATTGCTACTCAACATTAACCATCGAGTCATCTCGATTGTTTTTCTGCAACTGTTTTCGGATGTGTGGCTTTGTCAAAAATGCAAGTATGCCACAGGCTGCCAATTATAAGCATGTTTTCTTGAGGGAACATGTGAAGATAAAGGCGAACCAGATGCCATCCATTAGTGTGACGCTGAAGGGGGGCTTTTCTGGGAGGCAGAAGTTATTGGCCAATAACTTCCAGACCAGGGGTTACAGAGAGATCAAAAAAGCCGATTTCTTCTGCCCTCCCTGACTAGCTGCTAATAACATCTCTCACAGTATCCAGATGGACAGATGAAAACACTGCCCTCCACTCTTAGAAAGCAACAAATGAGGCTTATCTGAGATATGTGGAGC